ATTAGTTCAGAGATCATTACACACAGAGATCACACTAACGTGATGCAACAAATGAACAAATCCACAAATTTTACCCTGTCGTAGCTCAGTCGATTAAGGCAGTGTCTGGGATGCTCCCGGACGCAGGTTCGAATCCTCGTCACGGCCCTTGTGGAGATCATTGCAGTTCAGTGCCACAACTCTGTATGTGATTGTAATCATTCTTCTATCATTTTCCCATAGGATCGGTATGGGGTCCGCAGTAAACGTATTAAAATTAAATCATTTACTGATAAGGTAGGTATTACGGGCTCTCCATAGCCCATGCTACTTGGATTTTTTTGTTCCAGGTAGCAATTCTTTAACAACAACATGCAGGTATAAAAAGGTATTTATTTTTATTAATTTATTTATAAATTATAAAAATTTTAAGGTATTTTATATTATTTATAAATTTTAAGGTATAAAAAAGCTACGGGATCGACATAGCCCGTGCTACTTGGAACTTTTTGTTCCAAGTAGCGAATCATAAACAGCATGATAAGGTATCATCAAGTGCTCAGGTGCGTACTAAAATAAACCCAATCACAGATATTCATAAATTATCGAATATCATATGATATTCATATTCATCGACATGTATTACCAGGGGCTCAAACCTCCCTGGAATACATTGTACCATAACTACCTAACCAGCGAATGGCTATAAAGTTTGGTTAGTCCTGGAGCTTGTTAACTTCCGTTACCTTGCTCCATGACTAACCAATCCCCGGCAACTCTCGTGGTGCAGCCGCAGTAGGATCACTAAGGGATACCATAACAAATCTACAAGGGCCGTGACGAGGATTCGAACCTGCGTCCGGGAGCATTCCAGACGTCGAATTCTCGTCACGGCCCTTGTGGATTTGCTCATTTGATGCATCACGTTAGTGTGATCTGTGTGTGTGAGATACCACAACAGCTTACTAAATCAATAAACATAGTCTTGAACATCATTCAAAGTTGAATTAAACTAATTGTATTTGACATTGATAAGAATGTATACATCCTTGATCTTAAGGGTACTGAACAAATCTTAAGATTGATCTTAAGTGTACTTTAAGGGTACTTAAGGGAGCCGGTCGGCCGAGCGGACAGCACACTGGACTTGTGATCCTGTGGTCCCGGGTTCGATCCCGGGCGCCGGCGAGAAACAATGGGCAGAGTTTCTTTCAAATTATGCCCCTGTTACCTAGCAGTAAAATAGGTACCTGGGTGTTAGCCAGCTGTCACGGGCTGCTTCCTGGGGGGTGGTGGCCTGGTCGAGGACCGGGCCGCTGGGACACTAAAAAGCACCGAAATCATCTCAAGATAACCTACTGAGACGGTTCAGTATCGCTTAAGGCCTATCAACCTCTGGAGGGGTTATTTAAGCCAATCATATTTCTACTGATCGACCAGCAAATATAAATTATAAACCCTGAACCTAGTCCAGGACACAAGTAAACTCTCGGTGTATTTAGTCCAGGACACAAGTAAACTCTCGGTGTATTTAGTCCAGGACACAAGTAAACTCTCGGTGTATTTAGGCCAGGACACAAGTAAACTCTCGGTGTATTTATTCCAAGATGAATGGTACGCCTCTCGCAAGTGTTCAGTGAGGATCCACAAGGTTTTCTCTGAGTACTCTATTTTCTTCTCCGAGGCTATGGGTCCCTACAATTGCTCCAGAGGTGGTACCCCTTTTAGGTAAAAAAAAACTATATATATATATATATATATATATATATATATATATATATATATATATATATATATATATATATATATATATGTGTGTGTGTGTGTGTGTGTGTGTGTGTGTGTGTGTGTGTGTGTGTGTGTGTGTGTGTGTGTGTGTGTGTGTGTGTGTGTGTGTGTGTGTACTCACCTAGTTGTACTCACCTAGTTGTGTTTGCGGGGGTTGAGCTCTGGCTCTTTGGTCCCGCCTCTCAACCGTCAATCAACAGGTGTACAGGTTCCTGAGCCTATTGGGCTCTATCATATCTACACTTGAAACTGTGTATGGAGTCAGCCTCCACCACATCACTTCCTAATGCATTCCATTTGTCAACCACTCTGACACTAAAAAAGTTCTTTCTAATATCTCTGTGGCTCATTTGGGCACTCAGTTTCCACCTGTGTCCCCTAGTACGTGTGCCCCTTGTGTTAAATAGACTGTCTTTATCTACCCTATCAATCCCCTTCAGAATCTTGAATGTGGTGATCATGTCCCCCCTAACTCTTCTGTCTTCCAGCGAAGTGAGGTTTAATTCCCGTAGTCTCTCCTCGTAGCTCATACCTCTCAGCTCGGGTACTAGTCTGGTGGCAAACCTTTGAACCTTTTCCAGTTTAGTCTTATCCTTGACTAGATATGGACTCCATGCTGGGGCTGCATACTCCAGGATTGGCCTGACATATGTGGTATACAAAGTTCTGAATGATTCTTTACACAAGTTTCTGAATGCCGTTCGTATGTTGGCCAGTGTGATTACGTCAGGTGTGTGTGTGTGTGTGTGTAAATCACGAAAAATAAACACGTGATTAAAAATTATAATTTCGTTTTTTGACTCCTTCTGAAGATGTATTAATATACGAAAGTACTTAAGGAAATTCCTGTTTCAATTTTCCTCCGTGGTCTATACATATATATATATATATATATATATATATATATAATATATATATATATATATATATATATATATATTATATATATATATATATATATATATATATATATATATATATATATATATATATATATATATATATATATATATATATATATATGCGAACAAGCCTGAATGGTCCCCAGGACAATATGCAACTGAAAACTCACACCCCAGAAGTGACTCGAACCCATACTCCCAGGAGCAACGCAACTGGTATGTACAAGACTGCGGCTGCACCACGAGAGTTGCCGGGGATTGGTTAGTCATGGAGCAAGGTAACTGTAGTTAACAAGCTCCAGGACTAACCAAACTTTAAAGCCATTCGCTGGTTAGGTAGTTATGGTACAATGTATTCCAGGGAGGTTTGAGCCCCTGGTAATACATGTCGATGAATATGAATATCATGTGATATTCGATAATTTATGAATATCTGTATATATATATATATATATATATATATATATATATATATATATATATATATATATATATATATACAGACGAAAATATACTTGCGGGTATATTACGTAAGCTGTTGTTGTTAAAGATTTAGCTGCTCAGGACGAAGTATCCATGTAGCACGGGCTATGGTGAGCCCGTAATTGAGTTGGGTTATACATGATAACCTTTTTCCTGTGATTACGTCAGCACAGATGGGAGCCTTAATAACCCTCCAGAGATTGATAAGCTTTAACACGGAAACCAATCCCAACCACTGTGGACTGGTCTGTGGATGGTAGGGAATATAGAGTGGGGGAGGTGGTGGGTGTTTGTACGCTTACACTCAGGTAGCATGATGATTACCCCGAGTGTGACATCTGTGCTCGAGGTCCTTGGTAGTGTATATATATATATACACTACACTAATATTGAGCCCCTGGTAATACATGTCGATGAATATGAATATCATATGATATTCGATAATTTATGAATATCTGTATATATATATATATATATATATATATATATATATATATATATATATATATATATATATATATACAGATATTCATAAATTATCGAATATCATATGATATTCATATTCATCGACATGTATTACCAGGGGCTCAAACCTCCCTGGAATACATTGTACCATAACTACCTAACCAGCGAATGGCTATAAGTTTGGTTAGTCCTGGAGCTTGTTAACTTCCGTTACCTTGCTCCATGACTAACCAATCCCCGGCAATATATATATATATATATATATATATATATATATATATATATATATATATATATATATCGTCTGTACAATTTCATATTGCCTAAAGTCTGTTATCGATATCCGTTCCTGTTATCTCTTACAGTACCGTCCACAGGATGGGGGGTATGGGGCGCATAATAAATGGCCGAAAATAAAACTTAATATTAAATATTAATAAATAAATATAAATATTAATTTATTAATATTAATTAATTTATAAATATAAATATTAATTTATTTATTAAATATTATTATCGTGGCTGATAATATAAATAATATAATATAATATAATAATAATAATAATAATATATAATATAATAATATAATATAAATAATATAATATAAATATTATCAGCCACGATGATGTCACTCGCTCCTATATTCTTCTTATTTAAAAATACATTAATTTGAAGTCTTTTGTTTAGGTTATAATTGAATGCTTCATTGTGTCGGGTGGACAGGCAGTCAGCTAATATATACTGTATATGTATATATATAGAATTCTGTATAAGAATTAGGCTTATATCGAGGTTTATCTATCTACCTATATAAGGCTTATCCACCTAAGAAGGCTTATTAAGTCTGTAGCACTTGCTTATTGATAACACACCGATAATCCTAACCGGATAACTGCCAATTGTAAATTACACAATACTGCAATAGCATGAGACCGAATTATCGCCTCTGGCTTTACATACACTTCAATGTTTACATTCATATTCTCTAAAATATTAAGGCAATAGCATGAGACCGAATTATCGCCTCTGGCTTTACATACACTTCAATGTTTACATTCATATTCTCTAAAATATTAAGGCAATAGCATGAGACCGAATTATCGCCTCTGGCTTTACATACACTTCATTGTTTACATTCATATTCTCTAAAATATTAAGGCAATAGCATGAGACCGAATTATCGCCTCTGGCTTTACATACACTTCAATGTTTACATTCATATTCTCTAAAATATTAAGGCAATAGCATGAGACCGAATTATCGCCTCTGGCTTTACATACACTTCAATGTTTACATTCATATTCTCTAAAACGTTAACGAGACATGGCGTGGACTCGCGACCCGAAGTCAGCTGTAGCACCGTCAACCTGATCGTTCAGTTCGCTCTCACCCGTCGTGGCAGTCGGTTACTCACCAATTCACGTCCTCAACGTTTCAACGATATCGTCAAGATATCCTCAGAGGGGGGGGGGGGGTGACTTAGAGAGTCGAGCTTAATAGCAATCAAAGAAATCGTGTGAAAACAAGTGATAATGGCAACTGACATTATCTAGTGCCAATGCCACCATCGTTTTGTAGACTTTCCAGCTGTTATTCGGCACAACTGAAACTCACAAGCTGTTCATTGGCGTTCACAACATGGGCAAAATAGTAAGTGAACAATCACCTTGAATAACTTGCCGAGTTACAATCCCAATCACCTTGAATAACTTGCCGAGTTACAATCCCAATCACCTTGAATAACTTGCCGAGTTACAATCCCAATCACCTTGAATAACTTGCCGAGTTACAATCCCAATCACCTTGAATAACTTGCCGAGTTACAATCCCAATCACCTTGAATAACTTGCCGAGTTACAATCCCAATCACCTTGAATAACTTGCCGAGTTACAATCCCAATCACCTTGAATAACTTGCCGAGTTACAATCCCAATCACCTTGAATAACTTGCCGAGTTACAATCCCAATCACCTTGAATAACTTGCCGAGTTACAATCCCAATCACCTTGAATAACTTGCCGAGTTACAATCCCAATCACCTTGAATAACTTGCCGAGTTACAATCCCTTTCCCAGATAATGTTCCCGCTCGCTACCTCCTGAGCTTAACCCGACAGACAGCCTTACATAACATACAACACTCTGGGAGACAGTACCCAACCGCTTGGGCTGGACGGTAGAGCGACGGACTCGCTTCATGCAGATCGGCGTTCAATCCCCGACCGTCCAAGTGGTTGGGGGCACCATTCCTTTTCCCCGTCCCATCACCGAATCCTTATCCTGACCCCTTCCCAGTGCTATATAGTCGTAATGGCTTGTCGCTTTCCCTTGATAATTCCTTCCTTCCTTCCGGGAGACAGTGCCAAACAATCTCTAACCAGCCTGTTCTGGTGAGCGTTCCCAACCTCAAGAAACTCTCCTACTATTGATTGATTGATGAAGATTAAGCCACCCAAGAGGTGGCACGGGCATGAATAGCCCGTAAGTGGTGGCCCTTTCGAGCCATTACCAGTATCAAAAGATGATACTGGAGATCTGTGGAGGCGCAACTGCACCCTGCGTGACGGGAGATGTCTCCCGGACCAAGTGGTGACCAAATGGTGTCTCCTACTAAAGTGCCTTTTCCTTAACCTACCGTTGTACCAGAAAGCCCACCAACAGAAAACGGGACATTGTGTATCAATTTCGGGTGCCGCTATTATTTTCCTAGTACGACAGTTTTTTGCCTTTAGATAAACCTATATATATCGGTGTATATATATACACACTGTGAAGAAGGCTAAGCCTATCATTTAATATGCACAAAGACGTAAGTAAATATTTCAGTGAATATACACTGAGAAGTATGCTTCAAATCAATGTATTCACAGTGAGATGTATGCTACACATTTCACTGTATACAAACTGAGACATACGCCATGGACGGAAACAAATGGGCAGTTTCTTTCACCCCTGATACCCTTGTTACCTAGCAGTAACTAGGGATCTGGGAGTTAGACAGCTGTTACGAGCTGCTTCTTCTGTAGTCACCTAGTTGTGCTTACGGTGGGTCGAGCTCTGGCTCTTTGGTCCCGCCTCTCAACTGTCAATCAACTGATATGTGCACAGATTCCTGTACAGATTCCTGAGCCTACTGGGCTCTATCATATCTACATTTGAAACTGTGTATGGAGTCAAGTCACCACCACATCACTGTGTGTGTGTGTGTGTGTGTGTGTGTGTGTGTGTGTGTGTGTGTGTGTGTGTGTGTGTGTGTGTGTGTGTGTGTGTGTGTGTGTGTGTGTGTGAAACAAAAAATTGACTGACAGTTGAGAGGCGGGCCGAAAGAGCAGAGCTCAACCCCCGCAAGCACAACTAGGTGGATACACACACACACACCCCCCCCCCCCCCCCCCACACACACACACGTCCTACAACCAAACTGCAATAGTAACAGTGTAACATATCACAGCACACAAACTATGCCCGAAAAACATTACTTCAGTGTGGAATCAACATTATTTCAACCTAGGGTCAACAATACCCTCAATGTTGAATCAACATTATCAACACAGAATCATTGTTACATCAATGTCGTTTGCCTAGAGGAATAATAACCCAAGTGGGCAGAATATCCAAGTGTGTGTGTTGGTTCGACGTTGAATCGACGTTGCTTTGACGTTGAATTGACGTTGCTCTTGAATACTGTATCCACTGAGTCTGAAAATGTTTATTATGAAAATTGTTTAGATATAACCCAATACCTGGCCGTCTGAACATCTGTAAGGACTTCACATCTGTTTACCGCAGCTGTGTCACCAGTTCGTTCGCCTAAGGTTTCCCCAACGTCAAAAAAATGGTCAATTTAAAGTGTCCTCTCCTAACCTACCAAACAGAAAACGGAACAGTACGTCAAAAACAGAAACCCAAAACAGAAAACGGAACAGTACGTCACTTTCGCCAGCCGCTTCCATTTTCCTGTACGACAATTGTTGGCCTTATGCGACAAGGGAGCCGGTCGGACAGCACGCTGGACTTGTGATCCTGTGGTCCTGGGTTCGATCCCAGGCGCCGACGAGAAACAATGGGCAGAGTTTCTTTCACCCTATGCCCCTGTTACCTAGCAGTAAAATAGGTACCTTGACCCAACTTCTTTTCTTAGTCAGCTGTCACGGGCTGCTTCCTGGGGGTGGAGGCCTGGTCGAGGACCGGGCCGCGGGGACACTAAAGCCCCGAAAATCATGTCAAGATAACCTCAAGAAGATGCAACGCATACGAACGTTCTTTGTAGGACCTAGAGGAGGACAGGTTGGTGTCGCATTGACTAGTCAAACTTGCTCTCACCCATCTTGAGGTTATCTTGAGATGATTTTCGGGGCTTTAGTGTCCCCGCGGCTCGGTCCTCGACCAGGCCTTCACCCCCAGGAAGCAGCCCGTGACAGCTGACTAACACCCAGGTACCTATTTTACTGCTAGGTAACAGGGGTATAGGGTGAAAGAAACTCTGCCCATTGTTTCTCGCCGGCGCCTGGGATCGAACCCACTAAAGTAAACTTATTGTTTATACACCGAAATACGTGATATAGATCTGACAGGGGATATTACTATGATGCTTCCCAATATATATACCCCACAGTGAACACCTGCTTATTTGTTTGGGTCCGCCCAGGACCATTAAACGACTCTACGTTTCGGTCCAGGACGGACCGAAACGTCGTCGTCCCTTCACCTTCTAGTGTGTGGTCTGGTCAACATGAATCTATACCCGGGTCCGCCCAGGACCATTAAACGACTCTACGTTTCGGTCCAGGACGGACCGAAACGTCGTCAAATCTTGTATTTTATTTTCAGATTGGTAGGCTGGGTGTCCAATAACAATAAAATCGGTACTTTATTATTATGTCGACCTAAATAATAATAATAAAATATGTTTCCAGAATTTCCAGTTCATGGTGGTAGCAGTAGTAAGTGCGATAAGCCTTATCGTCTACATATTAACTACAGACTCATTGACTGCGTACTTGCAGCCTCTGGCTATTATGAGTTATCGGTAAGTACTGACGGAAACGCAGTGTTAGTTTCCGTTAAATTTTCGATTGTGTCCATATTGTATTTCTATAGAAGCTATCTTACCCTGTCAACGTAGGATATATATATATATATATATATATATATATATATATATATATATATATATATATATATATATATATATATATATATATATATATATATATATATATATATATATATATATATATATATATATATATATATATATATATACTCCTTTCTGCGATTTTATGTACAAAATTCTAATTTCCTGTATGAAATGGTACTCATAAACATTTTAATATTCCATATATTTGTTCTAATATAATCCTATGGTAAAAAAATCTTACTTAACAAGCACTTCCTCTCTCAAATAGATTTATATTAGATTCTGAACGTCTTCCTGGAGACTCGAATCTTCCTTACGACGACTGGATAATGAAGAATGTATCATCAGTGTCTGCGGACCTCAAGAGAAAACAGCCAGAAAATAGAACTAAACTTTATAATCCTCCACTAAAGAAGATTTTATTTTGGAATGACGTGAGTAGATATCTATTGCTTATCAGAAAGTGTCCCAATTCAAGTGTCTTTATACTAATTAGTCTCCGTGGTGTAGTGGTAAGACACTCGCCTGGCGTTCCACGAGCGCTATGTCATGGGTTCGTATCCTGGCCGGGGAGGATTTACTGGGCGCAAATCCTTAACTGTAGCCTCTGTTTAACGCAACAGTAAAATGTGTACTTGGATGAAAAAACGATTCTTCGCGGCAGGGGATCGTATTCCAGGGACCTGCCCGAAACGCTACGCGTACTAGTGGCTGTACAAGAATGTAACAACTCTTGTATATACCTCAAAAAAAAATAATAATAATAATTGTGTATTCAGTGTTATTTCAGTGTATTGGTAAAAAGGGTAATCACGGTAATGGAGTAATTACAAGACAGAAACTTATATAGCTTGCCAATTTTCGGTTTATTGTTGGGCTTGAGGCCTATCATCCTTCTGGATGATAGGCCCTCAAGCCTATCATCCAGAGAAACCAAGCCTATCATAGGCCTCAAGTATATTGGATTGACAGTAACGTCAACCCAATTTAACACGATGTCCATTCCCTAACCTGTCGATAATGCTGGTTTGGGTGTTAAGCTTAAGGTCTATCAGTCACATAGGACTATTAACATTTAACAATTAACAAAGATACACAGAACACTAACGGCTAACGTCAACTGACTACAACACTACAACTATAAAGATACTTGAATTGCGTTCTGCTTATAACTTGCTAAAATTAAAAAGAACTTATATTTTGCTCATATTTTTAAATTGGAAGAAAAAGCTGGTTCTCAAACATAAAAATTCGTTAATCAGAGGATTTTTAGCGTTCGTGGCATGATTGTGACAAATAAACTAGATAACAAATATTATTTGCTGCGATCGTATGTGATATTTATCTTCAATGATCTATATTTACATGGCAATTTCTCTCAGAATGATTACAAAATGAAACGTAAAATTAATAAATATCTATTGATCCAATTACGTCCATCGATGGATACCAATATATAAACTGAAATTATATATACAAGTTGAAATTATATATTATATATATATATATATATATATATATATATATATATATATATATATATATATATATATATATATATATATATATATATATATATATATATATATATATATATATATATATATATATATATATATATATATATATATATATATATATATATTGGTGTACACTGGCAGCAGGTTTTCTTTTAAACATATCTCATTGAATATGACCGCATATTCAGTATTTACTATCTTTTGGTTTAGGGCTTCTATCCCTATAACTATTTTCCTAGCATCAGGGCTTAGCTGAAAGAGGAGTTCTCCAAAACTCATTTTCGTTATTTCAAGGTGAAGAAAAAAGTGAATTACTATAGAATGTATTACACTTATTTATACAATTTGCACAACGTTTCGAACCTCCATGGTTCATTCTCAAGTGAAATGATATATACACTGAATATAGAATATATCTTTCAACGGTGTGTATATTCCATGAGAACGGTGTATTAGTTTAGTCATTTGTTTTCAGGTAATGCACACATGTAGCATAGTATTTTAAATGAAAACTTCCTATATTTGCAGTTTTACGGAGATAAGACCTTCGGGTTCGGATTTGGTCGGGAACCGTTCTTGAGAGCCAAGTGTGCAGTCAACACCTGTATAACTACGGCCAACCGAACCATGTTCCCACTGGCAGATATAGATGCCATTGTGTGGCACGCAAGGAGTGGCGACAAATCCTTCCCTGCAAAGCGGTGAGGATTCTCCACTTTGTCGCAGGATATTGTATTTCCAGGGTCCAGTGCTTAAGACACTTTCCCTTTAGTTTCTGAAGTGAACTTTGATCTTAAAGTGTATCATATGGTAAGATGATTTACCTTTGCTTGTAAAGATTACATTCATTAATGCAGTACTGTACAAGCATTAAGCAATACAAGTCACATTACGCGCCAGACGACTCGCCAACTGATTATACAACCTAACCCAGCACGGCCTAAAGAGAGAGAGAGAGAGAGAGAGAGAGAGAGAGAGAGAGAGAGAGAGAGAGAGAGAGAGAGAGAGAGAGAGAGAAAGAGAGAGAAGAGAGAGAGAGAGAGAGAGAGAGAGAGAGAGAGAGAGAGAGAGAGAGAGAGAGAGAGAGAGAGAGAGAGAGAGAGAGAGAGAGAGAGAGAGGGGGAGGGGCGGGGCCATCACGATTTTGAGGGGTAGGGGGGGACCTACTTGAATAAAATTGGTTACCAATATACTTTTGTATAAATCGTTTTAGTTCTTTTATTTTGTTTTCTTACTTACAAGTATACATATACACAACATTTATACATTCATAAATCAATATATGTATTTACTACCGACTACAAAAATACTTAAATGAGCAGTTTGAAATGGGCCCCACATTTTTCATCTGGCCTGAGTCTATTACCTGCTTTTCATGATTGACTGATAAAGATTAAGCCACCCAAGAGGTGGCACGGGCATGAATAGCCCCTAATGCTTTTCATGATTCTGTGTAACTATTATATATTAGGTTTTAACAATCAGAAAACGAATTTTGCTGAACCGTCCTGTGTACGATTTGACCATAAAATACCCCATCTCAAAACTACAGAATGAGCAGTAGTGTTATCTGTGTTATAGTGAGTGTATATGAATGGTTTCGTGAAACATGTTTGCATATCTATAATTACATATGTATACTATAAAATCCGTAATACACCTTAAGTGACCCAGAGTTGTCCAACAGGTCGCCCCACACTCGGTACATCTTCTGGTTGTTGGAGTCTCCCATTCACCTATACCTCAACAGCGAATCCTACACCAATGTCTTCAACTGGACATTCACCTATAAACTAGATTCTGATATTAAAATTCCGTATGTTCCTGCACTCACCTTTATTGTTTAATTAACTATATTACATATGAATTATTATATAACTGTATTAAATATAAATTAAAGCTATTTTATAGTTTTCAAATCATTCAGATATGGGTCCGTCAGGATATACAGTTCGTGTAATTGACCTATAAACTAGATTCTGATATTAAAATTCAGTATGTTCCTGCACTGTCCTTTATTGTTTAATTAACTATATTATATAACAGTCAATTATATAAATATAAATTAAAGCTATTTTATAGTTTTCAAATCATTCAGATATGGGTCCGTCAGGATATACAGTTCGTGTAATGGTGTACCTATTACCTAGGATACAGATTGTGTAATGGTGTACCTATTACCTAGGATACAGATTGTGTAATGGTGTACCTATTACCTAGGATACAGATTGTGTAATGGTGTACCTATTACCTAGGATACAGATTGTGTAATGGTGTACCTATTACCTAGGATACAGACTGTGTAATGGTGTAACCACAACCACGTCGTCGGCAGGTACGGCAGAGTGTACCGGCGCCGGAAGCCGTTGTTACCGAGTTACCGGAACTACGCGGTCGGTAAGAGCAAGCTGGCAGCCTGGGTCGTCTCTCACTGTGGAGCTAGTAGCGGCAGGGATCAGTGAGTTACCTACCTACCTCCCTACCTACCTACCTATCTATCTACCTACCTACCTACCTACCTACCTACCTACCTACCTACCTACCTACCTACCTACCTCCCTACCTACCTACCTACCTACCTACCTACCTACCTACCTACCTACCTATCTATCTACCTACCTACCTACCTACCTACCTACCTCCCTCCCTCCCTCTCCCTCTCTCTCTCTCATTACGCAATTAGTGGTTTAGCATTTACCAACATGTGCACGGTGCAACAAGTTAGTTTTCATTGACGAAAAATAAAACCTAAAACAAATAAGAAATTGAATAAAAAAAAAAATATATATATTGTCTACATTGACCCCACGAGAACAATTTTGTGTTCCACTCTTTACTGTATATTCATATATAATTAAATAATAATTATATAATGATGCTGTGTGATTATTTGTTATATTATTATTATTATTAAACAAAAATACAAATTTCCAATTTCAGGCACCAAGTCAAAGTTTCAGCTCAAGGCTCAAGTTTCGGGCAAACTCTTGACTGAAAACTCTCTTAAACATCCAATAATTGTATTTAAATATCTGTGTACAGATAGTTATTATTTACTGTGCTATCATTCTGGATACTGGAAAATGAGTTTTACCGTAAACAAAATTGATATATATATATATATATATATATATATATATATATATATATATATATATATATATATATATATATATATATATATATAACCTAGAAGGGGTACCACCTCTGGTGCAAGTGTAGGGACCCATAGCCTCGGAGAAGAAAATAAACAGTACTCAGAGAAGACCTTGTGGATCCTCACTGAACACTTTGATATTTTCTTCTCCTACCACCCCTATTCTTTTGTTAAGTGTGTATATTTATCTAACTTTATTTGAAAATGTCATTACACAAAAAAAGTTACAATATTGATTACATGCAGGGTACAAGGCTGCTTGTCACAAGTTGTACAGCTCTTCCAGCTCCTCAGATGGCGGGCAGGAACCGTGGATGCAGTGAGCATTTCCTCTCTGGATTGCCACACTAAGGCGCTGAAAAAGAAAACTGGCATATATATATATATATATATATATATATATATATATATATATATATATATATATATATATATATATATATATATATATATATATATATATATATATATATATATATATATATATATATATTTATTTATTTATATATTCGTTATAACATTTACCACAGCTGATATCAGAATTGTAGGAAGACTCATTTGCCACAAGTGTTCTGAAGAGTACGATACTATTCACCTTCATGGGGGCGATACCAGCCACTCGCAGAGTGACGTGGTTTGCCACACTAGGCGTGTGACAAACCACGTACGTGGCTTAAAGTATATTACACGCGGCTATACACAACACGAGCCTCGAAAGTGAAGGGACGACGACGTTTCTGTCCGTCCTGGACCATTCTCAAGCCTCTCCCCATCCCCGCCCCCCCCCCCTCTTCCCTAAACACATACGTGAACGGATCGCTTGTTTGACAAACTATTTGTATACTGTTCATGTATTTTGTGTACGTACAATATACACCACTTGCTTGTTTGCCGCATTCGTAAACAAGGGTAAATTTCACACTACACTTTTGGTAAAAAAATACACTTGTGTATTTTTATTTGTATGAATATATATATGTCAAACCAGCCTACTGTTAACATAGTACTTTGTGTACCTATGTGGATTATCGTACATATATTGAATCCTTTTTTTTGTACTCGTAAGCAAGGAAACAATTCACAACACAAATCATCACTTTCTTTACAGTACGATCATATAATATGTTCTTGTTTATAATTCGAGCATAGAATAATATCTTGTTTGCAGTACGACCACAGAATAGGAAAATCATTAGAGTACAGTATTGGCAGAAAATCATCCCAAGTATTATAATGACGGCGCTGGAATTCTAATATGCAGCCTTTCTTGATAACAATTCTTTCTAACACTTCAAACATTGCCACTTGCACGTGGTATTAATAGACACATAGCAACTTAAGAACATAAGAACAAAGGCAACTGCAGAAGGCCTATTGGCCCATACGAGGCAGCTCCTATCTATAACCACCCAATCCCACTCATATACTTGTCCAACCCGCGCTTGAAACAATCGAGGGACCCCCCACCTCTACCACGTTACGCGGTAATTGGTTCCACAAATCAACAACCCTGTTACCGAACCAGTATTTACCCAAGTCTTTCCTAAATCTAAACTTATCCAATTTATACCCAACTTATACTTGGCCTTTATGTTGCCAATAAGAGGAATGCCTTACCTGGTGGGCGTGTTACAGCTGCAGCCTAGGCACCTACCTCTTTCAGGGTGAATGCTCAGTGTGTGTGCATAGTTCTCAATCAGCTGTCACCATAACATTGGAAAATGCGTGGTTTGATTGTTGCCGCCAGCGGTGTCTATAGTTTATTGTGGACCTTGTGCTCATCCTGCAAGCGATAGAGCAAACTAATTGTTGAGAGCAATATATATATTATTGCACATTGGCGGTAGATTTTGTTTATAACAGTTAACAGCACTATAGATATTTCAGTGTAATAATAGACTTGCTGCTTATGGTAGTGTTACAAGTTGCGTGTAAATGGTTTTATATGCATAAATAGGTGGTTTGACCGCTGAATTACAGCCCGTCCTACAACCAATCTTTAGACTAGGCTTGTTAAAGCGGCAGCCGACCCCCCCAACCCGTCCACAGACCAAGTCCGTTCCATCTAGTGGTCGACCAAATAGACGCATTAATCAATTTGAATATGTTATATGTTAGCATACTGTGAATATTTAGGCATTGGTTAGGTGTTTAGGTTGACGATTATTTGTAGTTGCAGTACGTGGGTGTATACGTACTTAGAATACGTGTTAGAACGAGTTAGAATACGTTACAATATTCTAACAGATTTTGCGAATCATATTATGTTCTTGAAACAAGTCTTTATTTATATATCCGGATGATTAATCCAGATATATAAATGTGGGTAAAAAATAGATGTACAATGTTACTATGTGGGTAGAGGAATTGATATACAATGTTACTGTGTGGGGTAGAGGAGTAGATATACAAGTGGATATGTAGATAGAAGAGTAGATGAACAAGGTTACTATGTGGGTAGAGGAGATGTGTACAATGTTACTATGTAGGTAGAGGAGTATACATGTACAATGTTACCATGTGGATTTTTTTTTCCAGCCTGTTCCGCACGTTGAAAAGATGGCTGCCGATAGACATGTACGGTGGCTGTGGGCCGTTCAAGTGCAAGACTGGCTTTGGGGATCCCAATAATTGCCACACGATGCTCTCTGCAGACTACAAGTTTTACGTTGCCTTTGAAAATTCTCTTTGTCAAGACTACGCCACGGAGAAGTTCTTCAATGTGTTGAGGTACTTTCCAAATCAGTGCGCTGTTGAAGAAGGATGGAACAGATACCATAAGAAAGCAAGGATGACTATATAGCACTTGGAAGGGATATGAACACATGATAGGAGCTGGGATATGAGGACGGGATTGGAGCTAGGATAGAAGCTAGGATAGAAGCTGGATCGGCATGAGCACGAAGGTCAGTCAGTCACTTAGACACACGTATGTGGGCGGGGTGGATATGTGTGTGTGTGTGTATATAGCAGGTGGTGTAGGAGGGTCGTATATTACGGAATATTCATGCCCGTGCTACCACTTGGGTGGCTTAATCTTCACAAATCAATCAGGAGCCATGTTAGTTACAGCCCCGGCGCTCCTATGCCAGATAAACCCACTATATACGGGCTCATCACAGTCCATACTACTTGGAACTTTTTGTTCAGAGTAGCTGAATCTAAAACAACAACAATAGGAGACATGTTGCGCAGTGGGAGAGTATAAACAATTTCTCTCCATGCTGAAAATCAGAACATTCTGTCGGGAAATGAGAATCCGTAGGAGAAACAATAGACATGTTGTTTCAGATTTAGCTACTCAGGACGAAGTGTCCATGTAGCACGGGCTATGGTGAGCCCGTAAACAACAGACTGCAAGTTGCAGGTCTCTGTTCCATCGTAAGTAAAGTGAATTAAGTGCACTCGTGTTAATTAATCTAGTATGAGCGATAAGTGGTATATAGCCTATCCAGTCATTTCCCATTTTCTATATCTCACATATTATGGTATATAATTTGGTATTCATGTTATAATTTTAGTATAATATATAATTTGGTACAATATATTCATTCATATATATTCTACTCATAGTAAAGAATCATTCTTTACATGGTAATGAATATATATACATACATATGCTTACATTGACCAGACCACACACTAGAAGGTGAAGGAACGACGACGTTTCGGTCCGTCCTGGGCCATTCTCAAGTCGATTCTCAAGACAATCGACTTGAGAATGGTCCAGGACGGACCGAAACGTCGTCGTCCCTTCACCTTTCTAGTGTGTGGTCTGGTCAACTTACTTTAGCCACGTTATTGTGCCTCATCCCCCTGCATATGCTTACATTCTTGTAAAGCCACTATGTCTTCACCGGCGGGTGTAAACAGCAAGTAATAGATCAAAATCCTCCGGCAGGTTGGACATGGTTCCTGTCGTCTACGGGTTTGGTAATTACTCAGCTCAGGCGCCGCCACACTCCTACATTGACGCTCTCAGCTTCCCCACAGCCAAGGCGCTGGCCGACTACCTCATCTACCTCAACAACAATGACACCGCCTACAATGAGTACTTCAGGCAGGTGTTAAGATGATTTCACTGACGTCTTGTACCTTGAAGATGAAGAAACGGGCGTCTCGCCGCCACGCGAGAGACTGACGGATCCAGAGTATAGTGTCCATGTCATTGTGGATGCTCCAGTGCCTTCCGTAGGAGTTTTGAATGTCTCAGCCAGCAGCAATGGGAGCCAGAGTAAGGCGAGGCGCCGCACAGGTCGGGGAAGCCGGCGTGGCTGTGCCCTCAGCCGCCATGTGTACCCAACTCTCCAGCTCGGCAAAACACCGCGCGACATGCGCACATATGGCATTTATTGATCTATTTATGTACTTAATTTGATTTATTTATGTATGAGAAGGTACATTGGGTTGTGAGATGTCATAATATTGGTGTCCATACATTCTTGCAAAGCTACTAACATGTTTAACATTTAACGTTTAATTACTAACGTTTAAGACAGGGCGCATAGCATTTGAATCAGCCTCCACGGACAATCGAGTGTCTTTATATACGAAAACCAACAATTCGTTAATAAAGTGCATTACAATGAGTACTTCAGACAACTAATAATACGTGTCCTAACAACCCTAGTACCAGATACCTGTACTAATGTCCCCCCTCCCCTAGTATCAAGTACGGTACTAATTCGAGCCCTGGTAATCCTAATCAACAAAACCAAATTTTTCTAACTGGTGAATTACAAGCATCTTTCCCTTTATTACCCAAACCCACTTAATTCCAAGTACAGTACGTCAATAAATCATATATGTATCCAGTTTTAAAACACACTGGACCCACGAATATCATCCTCCCTTCAATCTCTTCTTTTCCACCAGAGTGAAACTTGTAGTGTCGCCAACCACGTCTCTTAAGTATAGGGTCACATTTAAAATTTCATGAACTGTAATTTTCAATAGTAGTAGTCCCTCTTCCACTCTTAATGCAGTTGACAAAATCATTCTACTATTCAAGTACTGTAGTGTTTAATTGCTGGTGTACAGGACGCACCTACAATTTTCAATAATATTTTGTAGGAATTTGTTTTTTTAGAATGTTTTACAATACAATTATCGACAATCATTTAAAGTGTGTAGGGAAGAACATGTATAGGATTTTGTGCGTGTATATACCTGCAGATGTATATACGTATTCGGTTGACAGTAGTCCAAAAAACGGATGTCCTATCCAACTAAAAAGTACTATATCCCGTCAAGAAGAGATACAAGTAATGTGAAAGTATCACAGCTGGTTAGATGTCGCAAGAAATACAATATCTTCGCCCTTGGGAAAACTGCCATTGGCACACTTTCCTAGTGTATTTATTACTGTATTGTGTTTTATTTTATTTTTGTATATATATTTTAGGGGGAATCAACCACCGTTATATTTGGCTTCAGTCTGAATAATCAAAACTTTATTAGAAACACTGGGAACTAAAAGTTTTTTAAGAATTATGGACTAATTATGGGATATTAAGATAATTATGGGATATTAAGACATCGTTAAATTATGAACACTTGAATTACATATTAAATATGATTAGGAATTCACCAAAACCAATGTGGCAAACATATATCACTATCGGGCTGTTCACTATGTATGCTGGACTGGTATCAACAGATACTTTTCTCCACAGATGGAAGAGGTTTCATCGGGTCCCAATCGAGGGGATAAATTTTGTAAAATCGTACTGTGACTTGTGTGAACGACTACACACCGACACCACTCCTAAAATGTACAATCTAACAAAGTGGTTCATCGAAGACTCCCACTGTAAGACCTACCGAGACAAGGACATCAGCGACTTCGTTAACGGGTATTTACACATTATCTCCCGTATTGTATTAACCAGTTACTCATTTTTAGTAGCTTATTACTCATCCATATGTGGGTTGAGTACCTGAGGAACAATTACCGTTCATATCTATGAATTACTAAAACATTCCCTCACATACTGTGTGTTCACATGTTGTAGATTTTTATGTTGCTTGTCTGATAATTCAGCCATGTCACAGGATTCACAAGTTCCCATATATCACTCAATTCCAATATAGGAGTATTAAATTATTTGTTGAAACTGGTAAATGTCTGATTCACTAAAATATTGTTGAGAGAAATGTGATGGATAGACTTCAGGGAGGTAAAATTTCCAACAATCTTAGAAATCAGAACAAAGGCATGCCTCTCCTAATTCAATATGGAGCAATGCAATTGGGACAGTAAGGGGGCAGGTTTCCATTCCACAGTGTGCCATTGATCTATCCAAGCGAACATATCCTACTTTCTATAATTGTGATGACAGGAGTAAGGTCATGGGGAATAGATTATATTTGATGACACAAGTTTACTATTAACAGCTGCCAGCTATCTGATTTTTCAACAGTTGCAGATCAAATCATGAAAACACAGGGATGTAATCCAAATATGGTACAAGATGGTTGGCAGCACATTTAATTAGTTCATGTGTACCAAGAAATTAAGTTGGGGGTTGAAATAGCCTAAGCTACTCTATCCCTTTGAGATGTATTTTGTCGTCTCAATAAACATACTTGAACTTGACATATCCTGCAAAGTCTAAATTTAAACTATAAAGCCAAGCTGATAAAGATTGTTAAACTGTACATTATATATACTGTACATTAGTAGAAAGATCTATACTGTACATTAGTAGAAAGATCTATACTGTACATTAGTAGAAAGATCTATACTGTACATTAGTAGAAAGATCAGTCTGGTATGGTCAATCAAATTTATTTGAATCAATTTCCCCGGGGCAGGGGACAACAATGTCACTAGCACTAGATGCAAAAAATTTAAACGTTCTTCCGACCTTTGACTTAGGCTTGGAATCTCAACTCAACACGCCCATCCATTTGGACTGGTTGGTAGAGTCTTACTTCTTGCAGGGTTGGCATTCAATTCCCGATGGTCCATGTGGTTGGTCACTTTAACTTCGCTCCATCTTGGTCTATAATATAATTTCCAAATGCTATAGCCATATTGATTTAATGTTTTCAGTTACCCTACCTTCCCTACTGAAGGCAGACTTCAGAGGTTGGGACAGATAGAACTGCAGGACTTATTCCTATTAGATGGAACCCTTCTAATCTGATTCTTGTTCTTTAACCCGAAGAAGGATGCTCCACCACCACTTAACTGAATGCAGTACATTACTAAAAGAAAAAATGGTCTTATTTGAAGATACAATATTACAGAATAATTATTAGAATTGTATATATATTTTATTTTATTTTTACAAATGGAATATTTTAATTATGCAAATACTGTACATGTACTATAAAGTTATCACTTTTCTACCCATTTCAGAGTAAACATAACCTCGTGAGTGAAACTTGGGTTGAGGCCTGTAAGTGTTGCCTCCCCTACAGTGGTGACAAGTTGTCGTCATCCCCTGTACAACATAGAAGCAGAATTTTTCACTTGGTTCAGTTTCAACACAACTCAAAGACTCTCTCAGCGCAAGAGACATATATTCAGTCTCTTTCTCAGGCATTCCCTCAACTTACAAATGAAATGGATTCCAAAAAGGAGAAATATGTTGGTCATTCATAAACCAAAACTAGATTATCTAAGCGCAACGTTATAAATACAGAATGTACGCCCAGACCACCAGAAATCCAGTATATTAAACCCACTTTGAGAACAAATAACAAACATGTATGTTTATAAGTTGGGGATGCCTTTATTATATGATATTACAGTAGTACATATTATTAGAATTTTATACTGAATTTTACAGATTTTTTTATGACTATGGAATTTTATATTAGAATATATATATTGTACAGGTACTGTAGTTGACTCTCGGCATTATACTAGCAGGTAATTTAATGCGAACTGCTTTTGTATGCCTCTATGCAAGGACAATTTTTAGATCAACAACCTGTATTACTGTCAAACTTCAATAATATACAAGTTTGCTTGGCAAAAATTCTTAAATCTTGCATTGTATGGCTAGTCACTTCAATATTTAATACAGTGCCATTATTAAAACTGAAGATTTTTTTGTGTAGTAAAGCCATTTTGCCTATTTTCAAAATGAATGCAATTATGTTTTTCATTTTAAATTGAATAAAATATAAGTGTCTTCTGAAGTTAGTCTGGCATTCTCTTTTTATTATACATAAACCTAGCAGTATACCCAGCATCTCGGTCAATTCATGTATATAACTGCATTTAATGTAGGCGTAATGTGATCAAGGATAAAGTATGCTTGCTGGTTGGTTGGTATGTAATGACTTGGATAGCTTCCCAGAGGTTAATAGGTCTAAAAGCCTTAAACACAAACTATATCTTACGAACTGTACAGTGTATAAATAAACCTTATACTGGTACTATATTTTACAGTACAGTGTTTTCATTATTATAATGCTTGCCTTTAAAATGCAACTTATTTATCCAATGTATGATTCTTAATTCAATTTCACACAAGTTGTTTTGGGAATGTACTCCCTGTGTACACTCTCCATATATGTATGTATTACCTGTATATGCATGCGTGAATACTCGCAATCAATGTGTAATTACCTAAGTGTAGTTACAGGATAAGAGCTATGCTCGTGGTGTCCTGTCTTCCCAGCACTTGTCATATAACGCCTTGAAACTACTGACGGTCTTTGCCTCCACCACCTTCTCACCTAATTTGTTCCAACCGTCTACCACTCTGTTTGCGAAAGTGAATTTTCTTTTATTTCTACAGCATCTGTGTTTAGTTTAAATCTATGACCTCTTGTTCTTGAAGTTCCGTCTCAGGAAATCTTCCCTATCAATTTTATCAATTCCTGTTACTATTTTGTATGTAGTGATCATATCACCTCTTTTTTCCTTCTATCTTCTAGTTTTGGCATATTTAATTTGTGTGCAGGGTCAAGAGCTCCTAGCTCTGCCTTTCGATCATTTTGTAACTTAACGCAAGGACTCGATTCTCTTATTGTACAACACACAATACTTGCACTTAAAGCTGCCTATTATGTTAGCATCATTACATTTGAACATTTCGTCAACTATTCTTGATGTTTCATGAGGTGGTTCAAGAGTTCCTCTTGTGTATCCCATGTCAGTTTGCCTGTGATGTGTTACAGTATTTGGCTAGCTGGGTCAAGCCGTTGTTCAGCCAGGTGCCTTTTAGCAGGCATTCTCCATTATCCTTCGTTAATGCTGTTTACTCTTCTGGAAGCAACCAGGTTGTTACAGTAGTTCCAACTTTGTATATATAACTACTTCAGGGATCTAAGCCTTGGGTAAATTCTCCAGTTAGGGCACGTTTCCTTACCCCTGATGCCTTTCAACTCCTACTAGTAATTAGGTACCCGAGTTTGTAAACTATTGCGAGTTGCATCCTGGTCCAGGTCAGCCATTGTTTAAATTAAGAAACCCTTAATTATTCTAATTGGCAATGTGAACCAGGAAAATCACAAGTTGGAGGTCTTTCTGGGGTTTGTACTGGTTAAATATAATTAACCTTTTTCACCTCTACTTACAACCACTGTTCTCAAAGAGAATAGAATAGTGTGCCAATTGCAGTATCCAGGTTTCTCTCCATTAATATTTGAACTGTTATTTAAGCAATTATTGAAGCAACTTTTTTTTTTTATTTTTTTTTTAACTCAGGTTGAGAAAAGATTCTCTTCTGTGCATGCCCAGGTTCTATTATATTCAGTATAAAACAGCTTGAAATTTCCTTGTAGGCTTCTAAAAAAAAAAAAGTGTGAGAGTGTGTGTGTGGGTGAGTGAGTAAGTGAGTGTGTGTGTTTGTGTGTAATTACCTAAGTGTAGTTACAGGATGAGAGCTACGCTCGTGGTGTCCCGTCTTCCCAGCACTCTTTGTCATATAATGCTTTGAAACTACTGAGAGAGAGAGTGTGTGTGTGTGTGTGAGAGAGAGAGTGAGTGTGTGTGAGTGTGAGTGTGAGTGAGTGAAAACTAAGAATGGGTGGTGGTGATTCAGGGGCAACAATGACTAGAGGAATGGATGTACCCATTCTATCCAGTTTTGGGAAATGATAAATCTCCCTATAACAAGTAGGTCATTTTAATGATTTTTTTAACCTAACAAAGTTAGTTTCCTAATTACCAGATAATAATGAGTGTGGGGGGACGGGGGTTATTTGACGGGGAGAGAAAAAAAGGGTTAGTAACACGGCTACATTTCCCCCCCCATCATTTATTGTTCATAGCTATACAGAATTAATACTAATGTCTCCTGCTGGTCTGCTCAAGTCTATACCTTTCACATTGCATTCCCCCCTCCCCAAAGTTATACTTTTCCATTTATTTTGAATGTTTCTCTGCGTTCCCTTTCGATCGTGCCATGTTATTTACCTTGCATTTACTCAGTCTTGAGGTGCACGATACCCACAAGATCTGGCAGTCCATACGAACGTAAAAATTAAGGAAACAGCAGAAGGCATATGGCTCTATATGAGGCAGCTGCTATTTATATATCCACCCAAACTCATTCTCATATATGCCTACCTTACACTTGAAACAATCCAATGATGCGATGTCTTAATATGTTACCAGGTAATTACCACCATAAACCAATGACCATTTTCAACCGAGTATTTATCCAGGTCTTTCTCAACGGTAAACTTATCCAATATTTATCCATTCTTTTGAGTTCTATTTAGTGTCAATGTATATTGAAAATCTTATTTACATCTCATTAGTTATACACAATTATCCATTTATACACTTCTATCACGTCACCCCTTACTCTTCCCCATTTTAACATACCAAGTACTCAAGAGAGAATTCACAAATCTCGCCTCCGCAATCGACCAGGCACCATAGACAAAAGGGTGATGTATTAAAACAGGATTTCCCATCAATCTTTGGGAGGAAAAAACAAAAACATTTAAAGCATATGCATGATATCTGAAAAATAATTTTACTTGTAGATTACAAAGGTATCAATATGTATGGATAACACACACAAATTAAATTTGATGTCTATAAACAATAATACCAGTAATAAGAATAATAAATATATTAAGGAAATTTATAGTGCACAGTTAAGAAAATTTGGAAATTACAGTAGACAAGAGTTAATCATGAATCGTGAAATTCCTTGAACGCACAGCGTTTCTGACAGGATCTATGGTTGACTTGGATAATGAAAAGAACATAATTGTTACAAAAATATCAGATACTGTATGTATAAGAGAACTTATGCATAAAATACAGTAATTACATATATAAATCTACTACCTAACACTGACCATGCGAATGTACTTGAGAGAGAGAGAGAAGAGGGGGAGAAATTTAGTCAAAGGGAGAAACCTTAAATGGTATAAACCACTGTAAAGGAACTGAAAGGAAAATTAAAGTGATTTTTAGGTAAGGAAAAGTACACAAAAATCTAAATACAGTATATGTCACCCAAATATAAAAATATATGTGCTGTAAGAGTAAAAATGAAAATTAAAAAAATATCTGCAGCAAAATACTTGTACAAACAGCTCAAAACAATCTTATCTCTAAACATACTATCGCATACAGGAATTATGTGTGAGAAATTTGTGTCAAAGATCACGGTTAATGAGAATATCTAAAGGTGCTGCAGTTTCCAAAATCAATCAAAATATTTTCAGTATCCCACATTATTTAAGTGATGGTAAAAACGAGATGCAATAATGGGAAAAAAAAACTACTGTGTACTCTCACTCGAACTGACTAATATGAACCAATCTCCTTCCATTCCATCTCAAAATCCACTAATTCGACCATTTTTGTCAACCATTATTGGTCATTTATGTTTTGGATTATCTTAAACAATACATAAAATTAATATTTTAATGCACAAATGCCAAACAAAAAAGCATGCCAACAAAAAATTGCTCCCTCCCTTGCTGGAGCCGGTCGGCCAAGCGGACAACACACTGGACTTGTGATCCTGTGGTCCTGGGTTCGATCCCAGGCGCCGGCGAGAAACAATGGGCAGAGTTTGTCACCCTATGCCCCTGTTACCTAGCAGTAAAATAGGTACCTGGGGTGTTAGTCAGCTGTCACGGGCTGCTTCCTGGGGGTGGAGGCCTGGTCGAGGACCGGGCCGCGGGGACACTAAAAAGCCCCGAAATCATCTCAAGATAACCTCAAGATATATAACCTCCCTTCCCCCCCCCCCAAAAAAAAAAAATCCATAGAACTTAACTAGGCTTAGTGGCTTTCTTATTGCATAAAAAATTATGCCAACTTAGGCAACTTAAAAAATGCATTCCGATTCATGCAAAATGCATTCCATTAAGAGGATCTACCATTCCTACTCATTTCCCACTTTACTGTATAGCCAAATTTTACTGGATAAAATCTAAATTTTAACCTGTTATGATGATGATCTCTCAAGAGATCCTCACTGTGCAGTTTTTCACACACAACTCCGAGTACACATCACCCCCCACATCCCAGCCCTTAAACATTATACGGTATTTCAAACATAGCACCATGATTTGAAAAGTTTCTTTTGTCTAAGATCTGTGGTATTTCTTATTAACTTGATGCAATTAACATTTAAGGAGAAGTAATGAACAAAAGAAGCCACCAAGTTGGGAAGATTAATATTTAAAGAGAAGTGGGTCAATATCCAGTTTTGACTAAGCATAACTTCTCACAAAATTTAAACTAGCCACAGAATATATCTAAAATAAGGACCATCAATTTTCCTGCTCCTAAAAACACAGTTATAGCTCTAGCTTTCCCATGAAATAGCATTGAAACCTCATTCAATTCAACTTTATGGAATAATTATCTCGACCACTCTCAAAATAAAATTTCTAGCACTGTCGCGTAGTATCAAAAGAACGTTCCAAGCCACCTACCCAATCTCTATTGAGGCAAATTCTGATCTGGAATGAACGTTATTTATTTGTAACTACATGTGTAATTTTTGTGTATCTAGTTATATTTTATTTAAAATACTAGAATCAGAACGTATTAATGAATTCCAGTCCAAAAACATTCTTACTGGTCAAAGACCAGGCCGCGGGGACGTTGAGCCCCGAAAACATCGCAAGGTAACCAGCATAGCTTATGTTATCTGTATTTTACAACAGAAGGACAATTTTACACTGCAACTGCCACTCCAGAAAGTGGGGCTCTATTCGACCAGGAGTACACAGTAATTGTTAACCACCAAAATCAAAAAGATTCTTTCCTCAGAAATGGAAATGAAAAAAAAATCACATCCAAAAAGAAGATATGAAATTAACATGCGAGGGGGTTTGAAACATTTGAAAATAAATGTATTTTTTACATACAGTCAGCAACTGTATTAACTAAATAGTCTGGGACAAAATCTGATCATTATATTCGGACTGATCATATTGCTATCCCACTATTGAAATAGTTTTACGTGGCTTGACTAATACTGCATCCTAGGGACAATATTCGATCATTTAATTCAGGCTTATCACATTTCTATCCCATTTTGTTTTATAGACATAATAAACCAAAAAGCAAAAATATCTTTCTGGTTCTGGCAATCAGCTGAAATTTGTTTAGGATCCATTGATTGTGATTTTGCATTCTTTGAAATTTATTGATATAGGCTTATAAATTATGATCTAACACTTATACAAATAATTCAATTGCATCCTAAACTTTCTTAGAATTCTTCCCTGCAGCATGATTTCATATACTGTACTGATAGAGTAAAAGTAGCCAATTCGTTCATTATTTAATTATGTATAAAAAGGTAATTGGTCACATTAGTCAAACCCAAGAGTATATTTGGGATGCATCACAATGTGAAATTCTCTTATCTTAAGCTCGATAAACAGAAAAAATAAAACTGCAGCTTAAAATGAAATGGTAACAGCAATAAAGCAACAAAAACACATTTAGCTGGATTGAAATGACTGAAAATTAAATTACCGCTTCCTACAACAACGATTAACTACGATTAAGTAGCTGCTGTTTTAGGTAAACAAAAAATTTATTAAAATATTGGTTGGCTCTTTACATGGTGCCTACACCACATACTTATCCACTTGAAATGCAAATAGCTTTTCCGCTGAAATTATTTGTATTGCCAGATTGAGAGCAGAAATGCGCAACAGCCTTGCCAGGACACGCGAGCATCTGTCGTCACTGCCCATGACCAGATGGGCAAGGTCAATCTCTAAAGGTTGGAAGCCCCCCAATTCCAAGGTACAGTAGTTAAAAAAACAAAAACTTCATAGAAAAATGATCATTGATGGTTCACTTATAAAAACACACTACATCACCCTATAATACATTTGTTGCAGATGCAACAACAAATGATAACCTTCTTGATTGTGCCACCAAATGAAAGGACGTTTGGTTTTAAATGTATGCATCCATCTTGCAGCAGTTTTAAAATGAAAATGATTTCTCCATTTAATCCCTGTCTAATCCTGTCTAATGAGAATGCCTATAGTCCTATTAAACTCACAGAGTAACGATCACGGCAATTTCAAAACCTCAGATCATCCTACAGTGTCAGTGTGACGTTTGTTTCCTGTACAACCAATGAATCAGAAATTACGAAGAACTTGTTGCCGGAACAGAATACCTTGCTTGAGATGAGTCCCTTCTAATATTACATTAATTCAAATAAATAACAATGCTTTAGTTTAATGGCCATATTTTCTACCAACTCAAGAAAATATTAAACATGACTAGATATCTACATTGATGAGCTTTATTGGAGACCAAGGTAGTTGTTGATGCCTTGAACAATGAAAATAATTGCTGGTTGCCATGCCACTAGCAATCTAATCCAATCTAGTAACTGTCCATAAAACACATGGGGTTTCTCCCATGGGTTGCAAAACATTTTCTTGAGATCCACCTGTAAGGAACAACATTCATCAATACAGATACTGTATTCATTCAAAAATGGATTCATTCACTGTTGAACAATGAAACAAATAGTTAAATTATACCCTGCTAAATGTACAGCACAAATTTTAATGAGAATGTGGATTTTCTCATTGATAAATCTTGTTAAGTGTGATTACTCTGTGAACAAATTTTAATATTAAAGAACACTTAAATGTAAGACACAAAAGAATACAGTATAGTAGCATACATTTTTTACCAAGAATATTCCTGCACTAGCCCTAAGCCTCTGGCTGGCTATGCAACCTGTCCTCTTAAAAAGAACGTCACTTTTGGTCGTTTGCCCGTATGGCCGAATATGGACGCAATTTGAAAATAAAAAAAAAAATTAATATAAATTTGGGATTTTTTTTCAACAACAGTAAGTTAAGGGTCCTCTGATAGGTTAGGTGGGCAGGAAATTCTTATAAAGTTTCAAAACGGTATGAAAAACGTTAATGGAAAGAATCCTTTTCTAAGCTGGCCGAGTAAGCCGGACGACTTGAACAGAAAACGGAACAGTACGTCACTTTTGTGAGTCAATTTCATTTCAAATTACGTCCAAGTTTGGCCATAGCGCGCATACGGGCGAAAAGTGACATTTTTAAGAGGACGGGTTGGGCTATGTGGCATTAATGATGCTGGCTGCAGTTAATAGGCCTTAATCTATAGGCTGTAGGGATAATAACATTACATATTATAATATGGCAGGCAGCATATATAAAGAAGGCTATGAAGTGTTACTTCTGCCATTAACAGAGGGGTTCTGAAGCTCATGTAAGTTCGTGACAAAATTCCGGTAAATTTTGATATACAGTACAGTATTAGTAAAAAATTCACAGATCTTAACAAAATCGTTAAATTTAACAACATGTAAACTAGCGTAGTTTTTTGTTCGCAAGCGGTAACAAAATATTAAAAGTCTGCCCTCGAACTATGCAAGAGTTAAGTAAAAGAACATGTAAAGCAAACCAAGAAACTGACTATTGTATATTGCAAAATTTGCTTTCCTTTATACAATATTCCGTTTCAAAATAGAATTTGTTTTGAGACCTCCAAGATTCCCATTTTCACTTTCTACTCAGAAAAATACCTATTTTAACATCATTATTTAATTCCCCCCTGTACTGTACATGTACTTTCAAACCAGAAGTTCACAACATAAGTCTAGAATGCTTGGCATGTCCTAAGATGCACGAATATTGCCCAAAACATAAGACCACCACAAGAACACAGGACGTGTAGCGGCCACCCTGGGAAAGCTCAAGACCAGGGTTGGGGGAACATGCGACTTTAAGGGTTTTTTTTGTGATAATCAGTGTGGCCTTCAAGAGCAATTTAAATCAATGAAACTTGATTTGCAATTTTGTTTTTGACATATTTAAACGTATACAGCACATAATACAATGTGCAGCCTTTGTGAAATCTTCACTAAGTAAAATATGGTTTCTGCATGACAAAATGTCCCCCACTCTTGAACTAGACCAAAGATGATTATCTCCAATAATCAATGATAATCTGATCTCAACCTTTGTAACTCTAAAATTCTTACCCCCACTATCTGATCATTATCCTGTTATAACACTTTCTCACAACATTTAGTAAACAAATGCCTCTATAATTTATACACTCAGTATATTCTTGGCTGCCATACAATCTTGCACCATTCTCACCATTTAATCCAATCGTAGGAAATGATTGAATTTACAATGAAAATTGTAGAGAGGTGTGAATTGTAGACAGAACAATACCTAGTGTGGATTTATTTATTTAACAGTGCTCATTATATTCTATTTATAAAATTTATTGTAAATGTGTTAATTTATATAGAAGCTAATACCATAAACTTATTTACTATACAGTACTTACAAAAATAAATTCTTACTCTTTAAATCCAAAATAATGCAAAAGATTATGACGCAACTGCCTAAAAACTGAGCACTTTTTACTTAAGTGTTGTGTTGACTACAGCAGTTTGGTAAAAACAAAGGCCGAGTCTAATAAATCATACAAGATATCAGAACACCGGATCCCTGAAACTTCACTGTACTTTTCAAGTTAGTAGACACTATTAGAAACTAATAGTTAGTAGACACTATTAGAAACTAATACTAACTTGAAAAGTACAGTTTCCTATAAAGTTGAGTACTATAGTGTTAATTATCTATTCAGTCCCATATTATGCAGAAAAAATCTGACGGGTATGTTTACATATCCATGTCTTGTATGATCTAATCTAACCAAATAAACATATCCAAGCTATCTCCTGCATATATTTTAAAATATGGGGAAATAAATCAAGCTTTCAATGTAACGAACAAATTTAAAATGGGCCCACAGTAACCCCTCTCCCCAAGCTTAGCTCTTGTTACCTTTAAACCTTAGCTAGACACGTGAGGTCTCTCAAGATCCGTATGTTGCCTATTTGAAGCCAAAACCTAAATCTGCATCACTATGAAGTGAGGGTTGCTTGGGAATGAGAAATCAGTGCAAAACAGAATATTCCCCCCAGAAAGAATAGGAGCAACAAAACAGGTAACAGCTTGAAGGAATTAGGCAGCCCCCATGAAAACACGTCAAACGATCATCGGTCTAGAGTAAATACCCGCACCGGTATGTACCTCACCACCACTAAATGACAGGTCACCTGGCATCTCAGCCAGATGGCCCTTACCTCATTCTTTTATCAGGTGGCCGAGGCTCAATACATGTTGCTTTTTGCTAGATTCATCAATAGCTTTACATTTTTGTAATAAAAAATGTAAAATATATACAAAAATACAGTACAATACTGTATATGCTTTCATAATGCCAAGCGAATTATAGGAACTTGCATCATTGTGGTTGTGCTTTACTCTCCAAGAAAGCAAATGGCTGACCATGGGATGGACATTGTGACCACCAGTAGCCTCAAATTCCCTCCTTATCTCAATTCTCTATATCAAATGGTACTTTAATAATAAGAGCATAATCTGCAAAAAGTGATGGATATAGTTCTGAACATTATAGGTAAAAATCCAAGAAAATACCTTCATTGGCCATATAAGGGAAAAAAGATAACATCTCGCCTCCATAAATGAAAGCCCAAAAGTCATTGTTTTCAACGTTATGTATCTCTGTACATTTCTATTAAAAATATTATACAAGAATTTTGTCCTCGTGTCTAAATATATATGAAGGCATATGTTCCATGTCACACAAGATGTGTGCCGACATTATGTCGTAATCGTTTTTTCCATATTTTTTCCCTATGTGGACATGCATAGCTCTAGCATGCAGTACTCTGGATAATATATATACTACAGATATTAAAACAAGAATGATCAGCCTACAAAGAAATGCTACTCATGTATTAATAAATCTTACCTTTTCCTTACAATATGGGCACGTCTGTTTCTTGCCGACAATGCACCAGCCTCGAATACAAAATTCATGAAAGGTGTGACCACAAGAGAGCCGATAGGTGTTCTCAATGATCCCCTCCTCGCCCTCCGGCACCAGCTGTGGGTTGCCACACACGGCGCACACTCCAGGCTCCAGCGTACGTGTAGGCATGCCATGTGGAGTATAGTACTGAAATTTAAAGTACATTACTGTATCAGGAATCCTGCTAAGATACGCATCATTGTTCTAAGCAATCCGAATTGGAAAATGTAGGCTCTACTACATTTTCCATCAAAATAATATAGATTTTACATACCAAAACAGCAGACATGGTAAAAAAAAAAAGTATACTCCAGTGATTAACAAAAGTAGAAAACAACTGAAGTATAATGGATGAGTAAATATAAGCAAGAATAAGTGAACAAAATTGGGGAAATATGGAATATGTGAGGATCGAGGAACTGTAAGAACAGCAAAACACAGATGACTGTATTTGGCACTGGAGGAGGGAAAGCTGCTTACAGGAATCAAGATAGAAGAAATAATAAAACCTTACAGAAAGTATACTAACCCCAACGTGAGAAGCCATCTTGCCGGCACACACTTCGGCAATATCTCGCCCAAGAACCCCATAATACAGTCCATAGAAAATAAAGATAAGGCCACTGTCCATCCACACACTGGGCTTCACTCCGAACAAGAAGTTAAAGCCCATCATAGTTATCATAATGATTACGTAACCCACCACTCCGAGGCCACAGCAGATCTTGTAGATGAGAAGAAACCATTTATATACTTGTCTGCAATAATAATAAACCAAGATTATTAATAGGCAATACAGATTATTTGCTATCACATCAATATGACTGAATATTCATGAAACTGATGGAATAGAGCTTAAGAAGATTAAACAGAACTGAATTGTCCCCTTTATTCAACAGCTACCTAAGCTTAGTTCTATCATACAGATTTATTTACATTTTAGAATAGCTTAACCACAGTGCTGCGTCAGCTGAGAAAACTCGTTTGCCCATTATTGCGCCAACAGAGAAAACACCATTTTAATTTTTTAATTTTATATTTTAGTAATTTTTTATATATATATTATTACTTAGGGACCTGATTAGAGTAACTCAATTGCAATTGCAAGACTATTCAGTTTTAGTTGGACATTCCAAGATGCTGCAGGTGGACATTCAAACTTTTCACGGGTACCAAAATATGGGACTTAAAACTACTGTTTATACTCAATAAGCAAAATTATATGGGTCCCATCCCCATTAAGGCTAGCTGGACATTTGAATCAGCTGAATTTTTACCAGGCAAGCCCAATAATGATTTTTTTTTAATTTATCAGCGTTTTTTTGTTTGCCAGAAATCTCTGTACCCTAAATTTTTATTTGAGGTAATAAGTCAAAAACTTGAATTCTAATTTATTCAGCTTACCCAAAAATCTGGGCTCCTGGAATTTGCATTTCCGAACTCTTACAGCTTGTTCCTACAGATGGTATTCCAACCACTCATAGTGTAGCTCCTAAACCCCATGATGCTGGTTGACGCAATAAAAAGGGGGTGCGCGGTTATCACACAACAAGATTAATACATCTACGCACAAATGAACTGTGTCATCAAGGTGGCTGACCTGGGCGTAGTTTGCTCTAGTGGTCGCTCAAGGGCTTTCTTCACTACTATGATGGTGATGGAGGAGAAAACCAGCCAGATGAAGATGAACCGCCACCAGTGGTTATGCAGGCATAGGATGAAGGGGATCAACCAAACACCAATCATACTCACTAGCTGCAAAGTTCATTAATAATCACACATAAATTTGCAATTAAATTACGAGTCAGTTTAGTAATGTTTACAGAATTTACTGATTGATTGATGAGGATTAAGCCACCCAAAAGGTAGCACGGGCATGAATAGCCCGTAAGTGGAGGCCCTTTTGAGCCATTACCAGTATCAATAGATGATACTGGAGATCTGTGGAGGTGCGACTGCACCCTGCGTGACGGGAGATGTCTCCCGTGAGAATTTACTGTTAAAAGGAATCTTTTATGATGCATTTAGTACAAGTAACATTGTTCCTAAAATTAAAATATAATTCATTTATTATGCACCCCATACCCATCCAATGAGCATTAGTAGAAAGGGTTAGAAGCACATAATAGTTTGAAGCTAGACAGAGTAACTAGTGTGAATTTCCCTATGATGTCTACTAAATTATGTTGCAGTTCTTATTACATTAGGCCTTCAGGCTGCTCATATGCAATCCAAGAAGATAATCAACTCCCTCTTCCAACACTAACTCTTCAGTTTCGTCATGAATTCAAAGACCAATATGAGATAGAATTCAAAAAGAGACTGTTTCCAAAGAGTGGCAAATTATGCCTTACGTTTTTAAGAGTGAATACCAACTGGTGCCAAATGATTACAATCCATTCTTGAGGTTATCTTGAGTTGATTTCGGGGCTTAGCGTTCCCGCAGCCCAGTCCTCAACCAGGCCCAGGCCTCCTTTTTGTTACACATCCCCCAGGAAGCAGCCCGTAGCAGCTGTCTAACTCCCAGGTACCTATTTACTGCTTGGTGAACAGTGGCATAAGGGTGAAAGAAACTCTGCCCATTTGTTTCTGCCTCCACCAGGGATCGAACCCGGAACCTCAGGACTACGAGTCCCGAGCGCTGTACACTCAGCCGTCAGGCTGGTAGCAGTGCATCACCCAGCACCCTGGAAGACACTGCCTCAGTCAGCAGATTCCTCCCTAAGTAGTAGTTACTTTAGATTCTTCCCTAAGTAGAAAGTCAATGGAGAGAACACACACATTTGACCAACACAATTATATAACTTTTTTTTTTTGGTCCATACTTTTGCGCACGCACACACCAACAGCCGAGTGTACAGCACTCGGGATTCATAATCCTAGGGTCCGGGGATCGATCCCCGGCGATAACAGAAACAAATGGGCAGTTTTTTTCACCCTGATGCACTGTTCACCTAGCAGTAAATACCAACTGCTTGTAAGTTAGGTGCACTGTTCACCTAGCAGTAAATACCAACTGCTTGTAAGTTAGACAATACCAACTGTAAATACCAACAATTATATAACTTTTTTTTTTTTTGATCCATACTTTTGCGCACGCACACACCAACAGCCGAGTGTACAGCACTCGGGAGTCATAATCCTAGGGTCCGGGGATCGATCCCCGGCGATAGCAGAAACAAATGGGCAGTTTCTTTCACCCTGATGCACTGTTCACCTAGCAGTAAATAGGTACCTGTGAGTTAGACAGCTGCTATGGGCTGCTTCCTGGGGGAGTGTGTGGAAAAAAAAATCAATTGATAGATTGACAGATGAGAAGCAGGTAGCCAGAGCGCAATCCACACAAGCACAACTAGGTGAATACAACTAGGTGAATACTAGACCACGATAGGACAAAAGCCTATCAACCTGGAACTCTTCTGAATTCACCAGCAGACTCTGGAGTCCCGAACTAGTGCCCAACCAGAATTTTTACGAAGATTAAAAAATGGGAACGTCTGTGAATCACCAGAATGCCAGTTCAAGTCACCTCATTGCCCAAAATGATTTTCTTATTGATATATCACGCCATCGCGATTTCTTTGTGATCTGAAAGAGGGGTGTAAAGGTAAGAACACCATTACCTGCAGGCAGGCCTATCAAAGCAGTGTGCACATCATTCATGGTACCACTGAAAAGTTCTCACAATAACTACATTTCTTTCCTTCTTGAGGTTATCTAGAGGTTATCTTGAGATGATTTCGGGGCTTTTTAGTGTCCCCGCGGCCTGGTCATCGACCAGGCCTCCATCCCCAGGAAGTAGCCCGTGACAGCTGACTAACACCCAGGTACCTATTTTACTGCTAGGTAACAGGGGCATAGGGTGAAAGAAACTCTGCCCATTGTTTCGTGCCGGCGCCTGGGATCGAACCCAGGACCACAAGATCACAAGTCCAGCGTGCTGTCCGCTCGGCCGACCGGCTCCCCCCCCCCCCTTCGGTATACTTGGGAGTGGGTTCTGGGAGTTCCCCTACTCCCCAAGCCCAGCCTGGGCCCAGCCTTGACATGTAATAGCTTGGTTCAAAAGGCAGTTACTTGAAGTGGCCCCCAGGCCTGCATATCCACCTATCCACATATCCACCAGTTGGTCTGGCATTTCTTGTAGGGACTTGTCTAATTGATCCCTGAACACCTCCACTTTTGTTCCAGCAATATTTTATTATTATTTTCATACTAACAAGGCAGTAAAAATGTGATTCTTTGGGAAACAGAAGTAGGAAATTTTTTTACAAGAGGATAAATTAAAAATTACAATACCACACTGTACTTTCAAATGACAAATAGAACTTTCTCCCACCTGATATGACTTATAATGATTCTTTTTCCAGGCCACAAGTCCAATCTGTGCTATTATAGTAACCAACATCAAGATAAGAACCATCTCTGCATGCATCTCCTCGTGGCCCTTGTGCTTCTCGTGCAACCGAAGGTGATCTAATCTGCCGAAGAAATTATATTGATCAGAAGATAAAAAAAAAAAAAGCTAGCAATAAGAATTAGCCAAAGATGCACAGATGATAATAAAGCATATTAACTCTCTTAACTGCACACGCTATTTCTGTACCAATTTTGACATGTGGACAAAAAGATTTTGTTCTGAAGTTATTTTTTCTTTTATAAGTGTTAATTATCATCCAGGAAGCACGAAAATCCAAGTAAAAAGTCTCTACCTACTGTAGGTTTAGATATAGTGGCCAGGAGAAGTTGCATTTTTGGGTAAAAATAAGGCGATGTGCCACACTGAAATAACTTTGTTGATTTATTTTCATTGTTTCTTACTTTTTGTGTGTTTTAACATGTTGTGTGTGTCAATAATGGTGTTCATTATGAAAATACACTATAAGTATGTACATTTGTGTTGACCAGACCACACACTAGAAGGTGAAGGGGCGACGACGTTTCGGTCCGTCCTGGACCATTACCATTTTGTAAGTCGATTGTGATGAGGAAGTAGAGATACTTCAACATACTTTAGCCACGTTATTGTGACTCATCGCCTACATTTGTGTATAAATATATGCACAACCTGTATTTATTCATACTAATATATATAAGCCTCAATCTTGTACCATATGTTTACATAGCACACATTTTGCTTGTAAACATATACATGATAATCCCTCATTTGCTGTTGACAAAAGTTCCAAGGCTCCTAGCATGGCTGCCCTCCACATTCAGATATTGGACAGTGATGCGCGCAGACACTGTCGGCATATTTTTTCTAAAGCCCTCGAAGGAAACAAATGAACTCATGATTTTTTTTCAAATATGTCAAATGGTGGACAGAGATCTCTAGTGTCAAATGATGTCCCCCCTAGATTGTGTAGGGGAAAGGCTATTAACCTATTAATAGCCTACTTAATAGCCTAAAGGCTATTAAGTAGGCAGTATTAACTGCCCGAAACACTTTGCGTAATAGTGGCTTTAGGCATTGTATGTACTAGCTCTATCTATAAAGCCAACAAACATTGTAAAATCTCTATGTATGTACCTTTACCTAAATAAAAATTATTATTATTATTATTAACAAAATTGGGGGGGGAGGGGAGGGAGGGACCTTAAGTCATCTCTGGGTGATTGGAGCATATGGGCAAATTGCCCGATATGATTGGAGCAGTGTAAGGGGTTAGCAGAGTATTCCCAGAGAAGTATATGATAAGCAATAAATGTCATATACTATGGTATCAAAAAAAAAAATTGTGTTCTACTACATATTTAAAAAATTAAACTTGGCTTTCAATTTCCCCCCATACAGTATACTTTAGTAAAAGAAGTGTCTTTTGAATAGCAATTTAATAAAATTACAAAAATCAGATCAAATGAGAGTACAAATGACTTAAATACTGTAATTGGTAGGGTGCTCTAAAATGTAATTCCTGTTTTGAAGTGAAGATGTATAATTAAATGTAGCAGGGTGTGAAAAATGTACAGGTACCTGGCAAATTTCTTTTTTTGTAACAAACAAAAATTTTTCTTCAATTGAACAACTATGACTAACATAGCAAAATGGTTTCGGTCAAAACTAAGTAAAGATTTTAAAACAATTTCGTTATATAATATCGATACCTTCTCTAATGTATATCCATAAAACACTGAAAATTAAGTTATGAAATCTAATAACGTAATAAAAAAAAGATTTGCTAGTACTGTACAGTACTATTAAATACCGTTACCTTAAAAGGGTTACCTTGAGATGATTTCGGGGCTTAGCATCCTCATGACCCGGTCCTCGACCTGGCCTCGACCGTAATAACAAGGACAATGAACAACTGGTAATTATATCCTCTAAATTATGTATAAGAACAGTATGTATCATGTTACTTACCTCCATTTTTCCTCTTCTGATAAAAGTACCTCCTGGTCTGTCTGAAAGATAAAATGAAAAGTGAGGCTGCAGTTACCTTAATCTTTACCTTACTTTACCTGCAGTTAAAAGTACGTCAGTTTAGTTCTATAAAAAAAAATACAGTATTCGGTATAAATAGTTAATGCCTTAAGACTTCAATACACTCCAATTACATGTATACATAAAGGGGGCCTAACTAGTTGACCTCTCACAGTGTCCATGAGAACTTTATCAATACAGCTAAATGATACCTGGTCCACTGAGCTGCGATTCATACATCAGACTGCCGGCAGTGGAGTCTAATGCCCGAAACGCTACGCATACTAATGACTTTACAAGAATGTAAAAACATCTATGCTATGCACTCTTATAAACCAAATGTACCTTCTTGTGTGTAGGTATGTATGTATAAATAAATAAATTATAATAATTATAATACTAAAGGCCTATTTGACCAGACCACTAACCAAGATGCCTAGTCAACAACTGAGCCACAGGGACATTGGTTCCCAGAACCAACACAAAGGATACAAATCCAAGGATAAATCTACACTGGTAGTGTGAATCCTAAAAATCACAAAAGCTCATGACTGAGCTTGATAAATGTTTTACTTCAAAGACCAAGATAACTTCAAAATTATACACTTGTCGTAAACCTTAGGGGGCGTCACATCTGAAATAGACGAACATGCCGATGACGAAGTTTATCAACCTGAACATAACCAAAGATAATGGCTTAATTGCTAATGAATCTCACAAAGCCTGAAAGTTGGCCACTAACAATACCTGTAATGAAAATAATGGGGGAACCTTTGACAAGCTGCTGGCTAACTGTCCCCATCGAGGCTACTAGAGTTGGGGGCCTTCAGATATATTTCAGGTATATAATAAATATGCAATGGTCATACAGTATTACATAGTATAAAAATCCACACTTATGTATTTGTGAATTTTATGTAAAGATACACAGTTTACTATGGAAAAAAGAGTTAATAAAGAATTCCCCCTATTTTGGATTGTAGGTAAAAGTAACGATTAATTTACATGCAGTACTTATGGGCAAGACACATACAAACTCATATATTCATTGTCTTTATGAAACCTAAGCTGGTTCTTGTGACATTTGGCAGTAACAAGGGAAGACTCGAAGGCTCGTAAGACACACACAGTATCTTTGTTTAATTTATTACATTATCTACCTTCTTTCAAAATCCGTTTTTGTACTTTCAAGTTTCATATATTCATTTTTTCTCACATTCTAATTCAGTTAAGACGAGTGTACTCACCGGTCTTTATCTAAGAGCAAATAGGATTTGTGGCCCTGTCTTACCTAGAAGCTAAACTTAAATAATGGTACCTACAAAAGCATTTTTTGGATTTAGGTTATCCCTCATGGTTTATTGAAAAAGTACATAGTATATCTAAAGGCATCCTTTACACTGAGACCAAAAGATGCCATTGGAATCCTGATAAGAAAATAGTTTTGAAATTACTATATAACCCTCTATTAAATAAACTGGCCCATAATGTAAATGATGCAAGACATTAAAACGTTTTTAATTCCCCCAATACAATTAAAGAAAGGGTTTGCAAGAATAGAGTAGATGGTAGAAATCCAAAAGGCAGATATATTAACTTGTAGAGATTACAACGAAGTCTATGTGGGGGAAACACGTTGAAAACTTGAGATCAAAACTGCTGAACATAAAAAACACATTAAGAATCATGGGTGGTGGTAATGCTGTAGCAAACCATAGTTGGGAAAAGGATCATAACATTGATTTTATGAAGTGTGAAATAATCTATGAAAGTTGATGCAAGACATTGAGGGCAACAGAGATATTAGAACTCGAAGGGTAGAAGAAGGGGTTATAATAAATACTCCTGAAATACTTTCGCTGCTAACAAAAACTTTACTTCGGAGGATAGCTTTACAAAAAAAATAATTCAAAGTGAATTAAATCTTAAATAGACAAATGTAAGTAGACCCAATAGCCGCTCTCCTTTGGGAATGGACAGAGTCACGAAGGATATCATCCAGATGAACACCTCTATTAATAACAACTCCAGTTCTCAGAATATCGATGATAGAAAGGACACCTAATCGTAATTCCATAGATGAGATCTCCGCAGGTGTATCAGCAGTCAGGAATGGTAGTGACATGGTCAGGAAGTCAAGAAAGCCAAGATGATTGAATCCTGGGAAGTAGCTGCATTAGTCGTCGAGATTGAGTCTCCTTGACAAAGCACTCTGCAGAATGTCAAAGACTTGGTGCAACTCTTTACATAAAATTTATAAATACACACGTGTGAGTTTTATCCAAAGTTATGTCTGTAAAATAGACATTACCATTACTTAAATTACCAAGTACAACTACATAGTACTGCTTTATTTTAAAGACCGCTAATCACAAATTCATACCTCCCGACTTAATTTTACACGAACCAAGACAATAACACTGAAAATGGGGCGTTCTTAAGACACATTTTGGCTGAAAACCTTCCTCCCGGCGATTCAAAACCACGCTGCGCCTGCTACCGCAAGCAAATGCAGAGACAAGAGGCCAACAATGGCCAAAAATTCCCCTAAACTCGCTTCAAACCCGCACAAATGCCCCCGTAGCGACTACCCAAGAGCCTCACCAAGTTCTCCCTGATAATCCTGAGGAGCTTCTCATCCAGGGGATTGGGAATATGGCCTCTCGGGACGTGGTGGTGGCCGTGGTGGTGATTCATCTCCGCCATTTTTGTTGTTGTGGTCGGCGAGACTCAGCTGAGCGCGCAGGCAGGGTCAAGGAACGGAGACAGGCGACCCACTGTCAGACGGTCAAGGAACGGAGACAGGTTTAAATTGAAATTGAAATAAGTTTATTGAGGAAAAATACACACAAAGGGATGAGGTAGCTCAAGCTATTCTCACCCCGTTCAGTACATCGTGTTAATACATACATAGACACACATCACAAGCAATAAACATATTACCGAACGTTCTGAGAGATAAACATCTACATCCAACACGGAGACAGGTGACCCAGTGTCATAGACGGTCAAGGAACGGAGACAGGCGACCCACTGTCATAGACAGCTAGACGGTCAAGGAACGAAGACAGACAGGTGACCCAGTGTCATAGACGGTCAAGGAACGGAGACAGGCGGCCCAGTGTCATAGACGGTCAAGGAACGGAGACAGGCGACCCACTATCATAGATGGTCAAGGAACGGAGACAGACAGGTGACCCAGTGTCATAGACGGTCAAGGAACGGAGACAGGCGGCCCACTGTTATAGACGGTCAAGGAACGGAGACAGGCGGCCCACTGTTATAGACGGTCAAGGAACGGAGACAGGCGACCCACTATCATAGATGGTCAAGGAACGGAGACAGGCAGGCGGCCCAGTGTCATAGACGGTCAAGGAACGGAGACAGGTGACCCAGTGTCATAGACGGTCAAGGAACGAAGACAGGCGGCCCAGTATCATAGACGGTCAAGGAACTGAGACAGGCAGGCGGCCCAGTGTCATAGACGGTCAAGGATCGGAGCATTCAAAGGATTAATATGCCAGAATTTACCCGAGGGCCATTAGAGAGACAGTGGCTTCGACGAGGACAGGAAGCCGGCGGCTTGTCAAATGTCTCCCCATTTGTCTATTCTATACACGATAGACTAGCAGCAAGTCCCCCCCCCCTTCCCCCAGAAGGTCAAACTAGGGGAAAATAAAATGTCTTTACATATATATATATATATATATATATATATATATATATATATATATATATATATATATATATATATATATATATATATATGACAATGTCAGACCACGGAGGAAAATGAAACAGGAATTTCCTTAAGTACTTTCGTATATTAAATACATCTTCAGAAGGTATCATTCCTTCTGAAGATGTATTTAATATACGAAAGTACTTAAGGAAATTCCTGTTTCATTTTCCTCCGTGGTCTGACATTGTCACATTCTTAATCACGTGTTTACTTTCGTGATATACACACACACACACATATATATATATATATATATATATATATATATATATATATATATATATATATATATATATATATATATATATATATATATATATATATATATATATATATATATATATATATATATATATGGGTTCGAGTCACTTCTGGGGTGTGAGTTTTCAGTTGTATTTATGCCTGGAGACCGTTCAGGCTTGTTCGCATTCATATATATATATATATATATATATATATATATATATATATATATATATATATATATATATATATATATATATATATATATATATATATATATATATATATATATATATATATATATATATATATATATATATATTATATTATATATATATATATATATATATATATATATATATATATATATATATATATATATATATATATATTGACTCCAGTCCCTGTTAAGCGGTAGTGGCGACCCAGATATCCAAGGTGACTCCTTGTAAATGTTCCTTTGTGGGAGGTCTCGCCCCACACTGGGTCGGCCGCCGACCTAGCACCGGTAGCAACACCACCTGACCACTATATATATATTGCTTGTATAGGCTTGAGAATGTAAGGCTTATTTACGGGTTCACTATAGCCCGTGCTACATGGACATTTCGTTCTGAGTAGCTGAATCTAAAACAACAACATCAGCCGCTTGAGAACAGTTTACAGTTCGCTACATAGAAATGTTGTTCCAGTAACTGAATCTAGAACAACAACTTGAGAAACGTTTAATATACGTATGTTCCGCCTCTAGTGATGGACGAAGCTATGCATAAATGATGTAATTTTGGCGACTCGAATTTCAAAGATAAATCTTGTATAATATGTTTGATTAAAAGCATTGTAAAGGTTGCAACGTGGAAATATTGTCATATACATATGTATGATTTGGGTATATACATGTAACAGTATTTATACTTGGCCATAAGTTTGGTTTGGTGTTGGGCTTAAGGTCTATCAACCTCTATAGGGTTATTAAGGCCACCAACGAGAGCTTATACTGACCAACCAGCAAGTATATAAACTTCACCCCTGATTAACATAGTTCAGGACTAAAGTAAACTCAATGTATATACACCGAGAAGCAATGGTATACATCTCAGAGCTTTCTTTAGGCCTAAATTATTCCTTAATGTTAAGGCGATAAAGCTAATACAGTGACTGAGGAGCCTATACATTTATTTATTTATTTATATACAAGAAGGTACATTGGGTTTGTGAGAATACATAGCATAGTACAGTAATTGCACTCTTGTAAAGCCACTAGTACGCGCAGCGTTTCGGGCAGGTCCTACATATATATTCATGGTTACCTAAGTCCTTGACTTTTTAAGATCTAAATTATACTTGCAAGATAGGAACACTGTAGGATACATAATTATGAATCTGGCGGTCGATAGGTCTTAATCTGATCACCTTAGACAAGTTATGACGCTTATTATAGTATGAAACTGTTGAGCTTAATTATATACATACAGTAAACTAGCTATCATATATATACCAAAGTAACAAAGGCTGTGGCGATTTTAGGGATGAAATAACAGAAGTATTTTCCCTGATAAGGCCATCTTTAGTGGCTCCAACGGAGGATACAGGGAGCCGACTGCTTTTCAAAAGTTTCCCCCATTGTTTTTTATATATTTTTTCCAGTTGAATTTTAAAAAAGTTTCCCCCAGAATATTTTTTCCAGTTGAATTTTATAAAAGTCTCCCCCAGAAATTTTTTCCTTTTGAATTTTAAAACAAGTATCTTGGCATTTACGGCTTTGGCGCGTAAGCGATTCTATGGGTTTATTACTCTTTGGGGAGATGAGCATTTGTTCTTACATTGTGGCTTGTTAAGCTTGAATGAGCTGTTGTTGCTCCTTGTATGCGTTATATTTGACCTTTTAAAGACGTGGATTAATATCTTCTATGTTGTTCAGTATTTTAAATGCCTCGGTGAGATCAGTCCTGTCATGATGTCTGGTTTCTGTAGAATAATTAGTCATGTGGCCTTTGATCGTTCCTGGTATGAGAGTCGACTTAGTTGTGGGATGTTATTTATTTATTTATTTATTTATATATATACAAGAAGGTACATTGGGATTGTGAGGTACATTGATTGAGGAAGGTACATTGGGATTTACAAGAAGGTACATTGGGATTTTATTATGCTATTATTATAGCATAATAATTACATTCTTATAAAGCCACTAGAACGCGCAGCGTTTCGGGCAGGTCCTTAATCTAAGAAACTTATAAGTAGGTAAATACTTGCAAAATTTATAAAAATGATAACAGTTATGTTATCACTATGGTAACCTTTCTCCGAAGAGGTTATGTCCTTTTGAAGACCTCCATTTTTGGATACACTAATACTAATGGAGGCGCAGCAGTGACTTGTACAGTTGAATAGCCACTTTCTTTTTCTTAATGTCAAACTTTTTTTATTTAATAATTCCTTAAGTTTTTTTTTTTTTTTTGCTGCAGCTCTCATTTGTTGAGCAACTTTCAATAAATAGTGAATCGTAACTCCTATAGGTCCTTTTCTTCATTAAGTGTAGTGTAGTGGTAAGACACTCGTTTCGCAAGAGCTTTGTCCAGGGTTCGAATCCTGGCCGGGGAGGATTTACTGGGCGTCAGTCCGTAACTATAGCCTCTGTTTACCCAACAGTAAAATGGGTACCTGGTTGTTAAACTCTGGTGTATGTTGGTGTCTCTTGAGATTATCTTGAGATGATTTCGGGGCTTAGTGTCCCCGCGGCCCGGTCCTCGACTAGGCCTCCACCCCCAGGAAGCAGCCCGTGACAGCTGACTAACACCCAGGTACCTATTTACTGCTAGGTAACAGGGGCATCAGGGTGAAAGAAACATTATTGCTCATTTGTCTCCGCCTCCACCGGGGATCGAACCCGAAACCTCAGGACTACGAATCCGAAGCGCTATCCACCCAGCTGTCAGGTGAATATGAAAATATTTATAGTAACGATGTGGTCGATCGTACAAATATGGACGCGATGGACCAATAAAAAGCAGACTTTTGTATTATTGAATTAAGACAAACCGGAAAACTTTTCTGTGTGGAACCTAACCTAACCATTCTAGGCCCTAATATAGTGCATATATGTGCTATACTAAAAATGGGAATGTTTAAATTCGGTGTTAAGCTATATTTTTTCCGGACTATAAAATGGACAGTACCAAATTCTACTTTCTATTTGTCCATCACGTCGATATTTATACGATCGTCAACATAGTTACAAAAAATACCATCTTATCAGAAGGACGGGTTGTGGTTGAGATATGTATTGTTACGCCCTATATGTAAGGTCTTGCATTTTACAATATTGAACAGTATTTGACAGTCTTGAAGTCCACTACGGGCTCACCATAGCCCGTGCTACTTGGAACTTTTTGTTCCAGTACTTGGAACTTTTTGTTCCAAGTAGCGAATCTTTAACAACAACAACAACAATTGACAGTCTTCTGACTATTTGCGGAGATCATTTTTATTACTAAGAATGAGTAAAAATCGCATTACAACGCACTATATATATATATAGTCTCATCACTATATCTCTTTCAGACATAATTCAGTACACTTCAAGAATGTCTGCGCTTTCTAACAGAGACATATGAAAAATAAGGTAACTTATCGAGATAAATCGCTGTCGGTATGACTATACAGCACTTGGAAGGGCTATGAGTTCAAGGACGGAAGGAAGAAACCATATATGTAGCCTATTATATATTCTCGCTTAGTATATATAGGAAAACAAGAGTTTAGT